CTCCATTTACATTGTGTTTGCCACCACCCTGCCAATTATAGAGGGTGCCCCCAAAACCCCCAGAATTTCCCAACCCAGCTCGGGGGCGGGGGGAATTCTGGGAGTTGAAGTCCACTCATCTTAAAGTGGCCGAGTTTGGACAACACTGATCTAGACGAGGGGTTAATAGTTGGAAGATACAATATGCATGCTGCATTCCTGAATGTGTGTGTATGTATGCGTGTATATATATGTGTGTATTAGCAAACGCTAGCTCATGTGTTATGGCAACAACACTAGTATTTTTAGATGGGGAAATGAGAAGTAACTAACCACAAAAGATGACTTTTGAAGACATTCGCTTGGCTAATTGTATATTTTACACTATAAGCATAAATCTAGCACTTGCTATCAAAATAATAAGATGATTGGCATATCAACATCATTAATAATCAGCATTTATTGTACAATATATAATGGTTGTTTGTACTTTCCCTCAGTGAGCAGAACCTTGTGGACTGGGCAGTTTAATAAACTTGGCTCAAGCAGATCATGTGGTCTCCATTCATCAGTTGAGTGTGGGGAATTTCCCCCATAAGGGACACACTCATCTTGCACATGCCTTCTAGCTGGTGTGATGCAGCCCACAATATGTTGGCTTGCAAGGTAGTGCCCAGCTTAAAGATCCTAGGATTTGGGGTATGTTTCTGGAATACTGCCCAAAATGTGTCCAAAATGTACCCAAACATCCTTACTGTTAACAGGGAATGTTACATGCGGCACAGGCATAATTAAATAAGTTAACCTAATCTGCATCTTCTCTAACTTACTAAAAAGAGTTATGTGAAAGCCTCACTTGGCCAAAGTTATGATGGTTAGTGCTATATATGGGCCCACCTGGTAACAACGACAGGATAAAAGATGGTAAAAAGAACTAAAACATTGATGAATCTCTATACCTTGGTAGAAGGTTTATGAAAAATGGGAAAATTGAGAAATTTTAAAATGTGCAATAACCTATTTGGGGGATGAATATTTGTTAAAAGAAGCAAAAAAAATGGCTCTGTATAAGAATGTGCTTTCCTTATCTTTTACATTCATTCTGACACATTCATTCATTCATTCATGTCTTACTATTTAGCACGCCTCTTCTGCACTTCGCATAATATTGCTTACCCCAAAAGGGAATAGCATGTTAAGTATGTATGTATGCATTCATGTGCCTTTCTAGAATCTCAGATTAAATTGAAGATGGTTGCGCATCTGAAGGCATTTTATATGGGATTACATGGGAATTAACTTGATTCTGGCTTAGCACAATTCATGAACCAAACCATTGTGCATTTAAGCCATAGTTTAAGATTTATCCTGTATGAATCCAGTAACTGTGGCTTGCTGAGCAAGCCATGGTTAAGCAAACCATGGACTTAGTGCAATGTATGAAGCAAAATTATCCCATAATACCACCATCATTTCCCTCTACTTTCTCCAAGCATTTGCTGCAGCTAAGATGTAAGTTGAGTAAACACGACTAGCGTATCCTGAGGAAAATTTCCAGCGTAGCCTTCTCCCTACTTGGCAGCATCTCTATGGTAGGATTTTCTTTTCATATGTAGTTACCTCCAGATATCTGATGCCCTCATTTGCAGCCTGAAAGGATAAAAGCCTAGTTCAGAATATAATTTTTTTCATTTGCTGTTTAGCAGGTTAGACAAAGCTGCTTATTATGGTATAGGGTTGTGTAGAAGCCAGGCCACTGGTTTAGCATTGTATGTGCTAAAACTGCCAAACCCAGCGAGAACTATACTGCAGAATAAATGTCAAAAAGCTTGGCATTGTGTAGAAATCAGTATAAAGCTTGGACAAGGTAAACTTATGAGGAATTCTATAGCATACAAGATTGCATATATGTTTGTATTTCCCGGTCATAAATCAGAATCCCACTCATTACCATTCACTTATTGTAGTAAGAAAAAGCAATGGAAATCTATACAAGAATTCTGACATACTGTAGCAATCTGCATTTCCCTCCTTTACAATAATACTGCACAGTGTTCAAAAGCCATTCTGTTCTGACACTTCACAGTGTTAAAATATTTTATGATGGCATACAAAGCCTATAGGCTTATCAGCTTATGAATATACATATATTTTATGTATAACTTTGATTTCACAATGCTGTTTTATAGGTGTAGGTTTTTCTCTTTATAAATCTTATAGCAAAAAATAGCCAGTATATTGACTTCACAGATAATAAAGAAAATGAAGGTTCCAAAATAATAGTTGATGGATTACTATTAACAAAAAAGAAATACCTTTATTCAATAGTCACAAATAGAAAATACATACACATTAAGTTTTACATATGGCATGACTAAAGTCTTTTAATCAATAATAATAATAATTTTAAAGGTTGCTTAGTGAAGGGAGAATTTACACATTCCCAAATTGTTCAATAGGTAATATACAGCAACAACATTAGGTAAGTTTCTTAGGAAATCTAGTTTGTTTTAGTGTAGCTGTTTACACACACACACACACCCAAACACACATATTGAGGCTTATTTCATAAAAGAACATTGTATTTGGAGGAAATTGGAATCTACAGAATACTTGATTGTGTGTCAAGAAGGATATATTTTGGAGATCAATTAGCTGTACTTATACTTTGGGCTCATCTAAAGAAGTAGGAAATGACTTTGTTTAGGTGCTCAGTGTAATATTTTTTCATTTAAAAGCAATGAAAAGGCCACAATTTAACAAACTTACGTTTAAAGAGGGCACATGTCTGCAATCTTTGTAGTTTCATTGCCAGTCTTTTAAAAAGTCCACAGCAGCTGGCAGGCCTTACTTGGCTGATCTTGGAAAGGTAAGGAGAATTAGTCCTGGTCTGCCCTTGGATAGTCAACCATCAGGAAATCTCAGGATTGTAGATTAGACTGGTGCATCCAGAAACAAAATAGCAATAGGAAACCACGGCTGTACCATTGCCCCCCAATAACACAAACGCGTCTGTATGGTCACTAGGAGTAGAGTTCAACTCAGGGGAGATGCTCCTTTTTGCTTTGAAAACTGAAGTAAAAGTAAATCAAAAGTGATTTAAAATTAGACTGTATTCCTTTTTAAAAATCGTTTTATAAATTTCTTGGTCACACAGAAATTGCGAGAAATGTGCCCAGATGTACAAATGGTAGTAGATCAGAGTAGCAAATATATACAAGCTTCTTTTTTCCATTTGCTCTGTTAAGCTGCTCTGATTTCCCAACTAAAAGTCAGTCACATTTCAGCCTTACTGAACACAAATATAAATGTGACTTGTATGAACTAATTATTATGCCAACAGCCATACTTTTCTTTGTCCATCTCTTTAGCAAAACCAGCTCAGCCCAAGACACTTTGGAGCCTTGAAAAGAGCACTCAAATGCTCCCGCTCTCTTAATAATGAAATCATTAATGGTCGACTTCTCTGTAATAGCATCCCAAAACCTCCCCCTGAAGGGAGCTCCCTCAGCCTGCCAAATAGTAAAGCAGGCCCGGTAGTGATAGCTTCTGCTGTTCTGTAAGATCACAAAGGCTACTGAATGCAAGTTCTCATTTTATCTATCTCTTTGCTTAATGCAGGTACATTCAAGGAGCCTCATCTCCAAAGGACATGGTGATCATTGTGGACGTGTAAGTGTTTTTCCCTACAATTTGCCATTTGTGGTCAGAGTTTCAGACTAAATTTCATTGTTTGGACTCCAGTAAAGGTGCTAAAATTCTTGAAATGGATTTGGAGGTCCGGGGTGGGGGGATGGGGTCATCTCCACAGCATAAGTTAATGATGGAAGGGGCTTGCAACATACATAGTGCTTTGCATGTGAGGGTGAACTGACTGCAACAGCTCTCGTCACGTTAGTCACAAGGGTTGATTTGGCTGAACTGGCTGACAAAGCAGGTGATCCCTTCCTCCCTCACCACTCAATGGACGCTCCTCCTGAAGCTCTGCACTTGGTGAACAGACACGAGTGAGCCATTCTTTCATCAAGAGTGTACAGCATAGAGGGCTTTCTTGCTCCCTTTCAGTCAGCAGCAAACTAGACCAGCCCAAAATTTGCTGTTTCTCTTACCAATCTGTATCCTGTTTCTAGTGCCCAGGTGGGTTCAAATGGCTTTGTGAGGAATGTGGGCCTGGCCAAGTTTCTGTCTGCCCCATTTTATACTAAACAAAAACAAGGCAGGGTTATTTTAAATTTCTTCTTCGTTCTTGCTTTAATCTCTGGACAGCATAATCCCTTGTCCAAGTCCCTCCTTAACAGCTCTTTCATACCTTCCCCAAGGTCAGCTCTAAATGCCTTTTGGGAATTTAGTGGGCAGTGGGCTGCAGTCTTATACAGCAGCTTGGGTGAAGTGCCAAGCTGGGACATATTGCTTCAGCTTTTTGGAGGCCCAGATATGTATGAAGGAGGGGGGTTAGATGCAATCCGTGCATATGCTAAAACCCATTTTGCTGGAAAATCAATCCTATTTAATTTGGCATAACATATTCCTGAGTAGTCAGCAATAAGACTGGAAAGCTTTTAAAGCCACAAGTCTGTCTATATTGATTTGCTGATCCCAGGAATCTCCTCTTTTACCTTCTACCTCTTCCAGCCAAAAATTAATTCTCAAGGCTAGATGGAAGAATCATAGCATTTAACACTTTGATCCTACACTTATTTACTCAGAAGTCTCAGGTACATTTACTGGCATTTGCTGCCTAATCAACTAGTTTTTAAACTATGGCCTATATGTGAATTTTTTTTTAAAAAAAGGGTTAAATCTGGGGTAGATTTGAGTCAAGCTTGTAATGAAGACTCATCAACTGTTGTTGCTGGGAGCTACTGGGTATAGGCAGAAGAATCACTTCTATGTGAAAGAAGCAAGCAAGGACGGTGGTGAAACAGAGGGTCTGAAACCTGAGGGGAGGAGTATGTCCACACCAATCAGAAGTGGACCGTAGTGCTGGGGCGGGCTGATCCCAGCGGGTGGTGACCTGACAGTGCCACTGACAGAATGGGCATTGAAGTACATCAGATTGTACTCATGGTTAAGCTCATACAGTTTGTTGCCTGCTGAAGGGGGAAAGCACTATAGCATTTTGAAGCTAGAACAGCTAAGAACAACGTTAAGCTGCCTTGGATATGGGTTAGGGACAAGAGGGAGGCAACCTCATGATGTCACAGCAGAGAAGATACGTTGCTGGGTCATGCTTGTGGAAGTGAGGAAAGGAGATGCAGAATGAACTCTTCCTTCTCTTCCGTTACAGGAGTGGCAGCGTCAGTGGCCTGACACTGAAACTGATGAAGACCTCAGTCTATGACATGTTGGACACCCTCTCAGATGATGATTACGTTAATGTTGCTTCTGTGAGTAGCCAGCCTGTGGTAGGAAATTAAGGGGCAAAGACAGAGGCAGCTTTACACCAACTTGGCATCTGCTAGTTTGGGAAGTCTAATATAGAGATGATAAATACTAATATGCATTGTGGGATCTGTAGTGGCCCATAGCATCTGTAACACTAGATTTGTTATGAACCAATGACTTGCCTATATTTGCTTCTACACCTTCAGTAATGTCTTTCTTCCTCAGTCCAGGTTTTTTTAAAAAAATGGAATGGAGACCAAGAGAGTATATGCAGATTTGTGCTGTGCACACAAAGTAAGAAAGCAGTATGCAGAATCTAATATTTTCTTCACTGTAGTATCATCCATAGCAATAATTGAAGAATTTCTCTATTACGTATAGATTATCTTAATTATATTATAGATATAGGTGCACACACATACCTACAAATATAAAAACTCATCTATCCTTTCTTGCATAAATATACATGCTCAAATTTAGGAAAGAGGCAGATTGAATGGCACTTAATTGTACTACAACTTATTGGTAATCAATGCATTATAATTGTTGTGTAGGTATTTAGCCTAGGGAATGCACATCAGCACTCCTCTCTTCTGAGTGATAGTGGGTCACTTGGTCACTAAATAAGGGTGTAACTGAGATGAGAGCTCTGTGTACAGATCTGTTAAGCATCCTTACATGGTAATATCAATGCACCATAATGTCTTCCTTCTCTTTGATTGTAGTGTGACCATGTGACCATTTTTGAGTTAATGGCTACATTCAGACTTGTGAAATATGCTGCCAGCCGTGCAGGAGAAAGCGGGGAAGACATACAAAGGACAAGTGGGCATGTCTACAGGCTTACACGTTAACCATAAGGAGCTATCAGGTGTATTGTAGCAATTCCTACATGCCTAAATATAGCAAAGAAAGAAAACTTGTGAGCAATCTTTGCTCTCTAGGGATGTTGGAAAACTTCATTTATCTGAATTTAAGTAGACTGACAACTTTCACTATCCAGACTGTTAGACAAATTGGAATGGGGTTTTTTTGCTTAGATTCTGCACTTCTCTGGATTTTGCAATACAGTTCCAATTTTTTTCCCTACAATCAAGTCATTCCTTGTCCTCATCCAGATCATTTGACCAAAAGAGAGTCAAATAGTGCAATAGTGATAAATATACAATAATATATAATCATTTACACTGGAATAACAACTGCGACACAAATGCTGTAAATACTTGAGAATCCATTACTGCTGTAAATGATTGCTTTCATCAGTTCTAATTCCTGTTAGTAAATAGCACAATTTTGGAGAAAATGATGGTTCACAATTCATACTGAAGTCAATCTATGGGGCATTTGCTCGGGGCTTGTATAAATCAGACTGTATCAGTGGTAAGCATGGTAGTGCTAGGGACAGGCAAGTGAAGGTGAAAGAACTCAGCCCTCAGGAGCAAGATAGGTGTTTCTCTAGCAGGGAGAGAAGTTAATGATCAGAGCTGTTATCCTGGATTTGATGTGGCGTGTTTAATGCCTGCTCTTGCACTTAGCAGCCTCTAGGAGTTAAACGATAGCTTCTCTAGGAAATGAGTTCTGAAAGCGTCTTAAACCAAAATGCCACATCAGCCCTGCAAAAACAAGCACGCTCTTTATTTGCTGGATTTGTCTCCTTGTATAATGGGGGGAAAAAAAAAAAAGGAGGGAGATGCCTGTCAGAGGCCCTGGCCTCTGCCTCGTGCAGATCCTGCAGCCCAATTTACCATTTCTGTCACCTTTCCTTTTCCCACACTCCTGACTGTTCTTTCCCTTTGATCGATTGCAAATGACAAAACACACCTGCAAGAAATAAATTGCATCCTCCGCTGCCATTTCCTCTGTGCCAGCTTTGACAAGCAGTTCTGTTTGCACAAGATGGTTCTTTGTGGTGAGAGTTGCGGGGAGGGGGCAGCGGGGAGCGGAGCCAGCAGGTATGACAAGGATGGGGGAAAGGAAAGCTTCCACCAAGGGGAAGATGCTCATAAAAGAGGCTGGGCTCTTTCCTGGACCTTGGTTGAATTAAAGTTAGTTTATGGGCAGGAACATATTGTGGTTTATGGATCCAGAAGATCCAGAATGGAATTAGAGGCATCAGCAAATTTGAGTTCCTTTTAGAGCTGTCTTCCCAACCTGCTGCCTCCAGCTGGATGGATCAGTGGAAAGCGACATTTGAGGATTGCAGCCCCTTGTTCAACAGTGTCTTTCTACCTATCACATCCCTGCCCCTCATCTAGGATAGAGGGTCCTTGTTACCTGCTATTCTCCACTCTCCTAGTCCTCTGGCAAGTGCAAAGCTTCTGGAAGAGGTAAGGTGTTCTCTCATGTCTGTTATGGCTTGGAGAAAGTAAGGAACAACCTAAATCTACTTGGATCTGAACCTTCCTTAAATATCTGTATGAGTGAGACTCACCTCTCCAGCAAGCACATGGAGATTTATGGGAGAGGAAGAGACTTCTGTTATTCAAACTGAAAGGCCTTTTATTTATTTATTTATTTATTTATTTATTTATTTCAGCTCAAGTGAGAACAAATCTTGCCTCTCTTCCAAGTGCCCTATGGTTATTTGAGGGAGGTTGGGGGGGTCTTGCCTCCCATCCCTCCTTATCTGTTTGGGTAAAGATGAGGGCTGGTAGAACTGTAGGCTCTCCAACTCTCAACCTCTTATTCTAGAATTGGCTTAATTGTCAGTAGACTTTCAGACATGATTTACCAAGTGCTGATACTTTATTGCAGACAAAAATTAAGCCAGTATGGCAGAAAAATCTGCCTATTATATTATACAACAATCACAGCCTATGTATGTATGTATGTATGTATGTATGTATGTATGTATATTTGCTCCAGACTTTAAATTCTAGGCTTTGTCCTCCCTCCTTCCCAAGCTAATGGACACTTGGCTGTTCTTTTCTGGAATGTGTTGATATAATAGTTCTCAGTAGCCTGAGAACTGCTGGTCCCTCTTATATCAGCTTCCTTCGCAGCTGCAAGAAAAGCCCTCAGTAGAGGAGATGGGAAGTGACTGGGAGGTGGAGAAAGCAGATGTTATTGTAGAACAGCATAAGGAAATACATGGCTTGGTGGTTTTTACCCTTACTGGCTGACTAGTACTTCCTGTCCTTAAGCTAAACTGGTCCCATTTGGGCAGTGGCCAGCACAGCTGAGGAAGGGTATCTTCAGTGATGAAAATCCCACTTTCTAAGAATGGTTCTATAGTCTCATGCCTGTAGCATGTCAGAAAGGGGCATGTTTTGTACAGTACGCTTCCTATACATAGAAGAGACACTAATGTTTTATTTATGTATTTGTTTGTTTTTGTTTGTTTATTTATTTACTGGATGGGGTTGTACTGCCCCAAACAGACCCTGTGTGCAATCTGGGGGTCTTCCTAGACTCACGACTCCTGCTCAAAGAGCAGGTGGCAGTCGTGGTTAGAAGGGCCTTTGCACAATTCCGTATTGTGTGCCAGTTGCACCCATTCCTAGATCAGAGGGACCTACTCACAGTCACTCATGCCCTGGTCACCTCCCAGTTAGATTACTGCAATGTGCTCTACATGGAGCTGCCCTTGAAGAGTATCCAGAAACTTCAGCTGGTACAAAATGCAGCGGCACGAGCAATTATGTGTGTTTCTAGTAGAACACACATTACACCTCTGCTTCACAAACTACATTGGTTAGGAGTTCGTTTTTGGGTCCAATTCAAGGTGCTGATGTTGACCTTTAAAGCCCTTCATGGCATGGGGCCAGGTTACCTGAGGGACTGCCTCTCCCTGATTTCATCTGCCTGTCCTACCAGATCCAGCAAAGGGGGCATGTTATGGGTTCAGTCGCCTAGGGAGCTACATTTGGCAGTCCCTAGACAGTGGGCCTTTTCTACTGTGGTGCCCACGCTGTGGAATCTTCTCCCCCTGAGGTGAGGTTGGCCTTGTCATCATTGAGCTTCCAGAGGTCCCTTAAGACCTGGTTATGCCAGCAGACCTGGGGACGCCAGGGGGCAGGGGAATTAGTGAGGTGGCTCCCTTATTTTTA